CTATGCTTTAGTCATACCCCTAAAACAAAGTTTGTGTTAGACGTATTTATGACTATCTATATATATAAAAAGCCAGCGACTGGAACGCAGTAACAACCAGATGAGACTGGTTGCTATGACGCCCACTGCAGCCAGTGAACGGGCCTGAATGGGGGTGGGGCCACCAAACAACCTTCCACAGCCCCTCCCCCCAGCTTTCTCTGATCCTGATAAGCCTCTCCCCCACCTTGATCAAGGAGGGGGGGTTGGCTCTTACCCCCAGCTGGCCCTGCGTCGATGGGCCTCCTCCACCCCAATCAGTTGCAGCCCCTCCCCCTCCCAGCCCCACTCCCACCCAATTGCTCCCCCCCCCACCTCAATCAGGGGCAGGAACACAAGCCAACCACCTGTGGCCCTTCCCCCAGCCGATCCCACCCCCGATGGGCCCCCACTACTCCAATTGACCTGCGGCACCAATCTGCCCCAATTGGGGCTGGGCCAGCCAGACCCCACCTGTGCGAAAATTTGTGCACTGGCCTCTAGTGTGTGTGTGTGTGTGTGTGTGTATATTCTTTTTTAGATTTATTGAACATTTACTACATAGGTGTCATTAATCCCCATTTCACAAAATAGCTAAGTGGCTGGTCCAAGTTCACAAGTGAGGAAGCCAAGATTAAAACTCAATTTGCCAGACACCAACATTTATCCTAGTTCTTTATGTCCCCATTTTCTCCTTTTATAAATGTGGAGAATGAACAAGAAAGTCACTGATTGGACTTTAGTGCCAGCTCTCACATTAACTATGTTCCTCTTTCCCTGCTGGAGCCTCAAGTCTCCATCTGTAACATGAGAAGATGGAACTGAGTGACCTCTGAATTTGCCCAGCTCAATAATGCTCTGAGTCTTGGCTTCTCATCCAGGTATCTTAGACAAAAGCAGGCTTGGTTCCAACTCTACACTCTTGTTCCCGTTCTTTAAAAACTTTTATGTAATTATATTATAGGTAATTGGATTTAAAATTCAAATAACATTAAAAGGCATGAATTACAAAAAGAGTCTCTTGCTCTGTATACACTCTTCTCTCCTTAAAAGAAAATCTGGTGACCAAAGCTAATGCTCTTCAACTCATTAGTTTTATTTCCTGAAATCCATACATTTTATATTATCATAAGTATACACTGCTCTCTCTTGCTTTGTAAATATTAGATATTATCCATGATAGATGAGGAATTTTTTTTGCACATTTATACACTCTTTCCCTTTGTGTTCATGCAGGTTTTACTATTACTGCTTTGTATATACTGTTCACTGCTGAGCTAAGTGTGCTGTACATTTTTTAACATCCAAGAATTTCCCCACCCTCTCTTGCATTGGATATCACTTACTCTTTTTTCTTATATATTCTCATTTTGGTGCAGCCAATCTTCAAGTAGGTTCCTGAAGTACATTTCCTATTTCCTTCATTCATGGTGGCTGAATTGATTAGGTATAGAATTTCAGACTGGACCTTTTCCTTTAAAATTTTAAAGCCTTTGCCTCACTGTCTTTCATGTTGCTATTGAAAAGTGTGATAGCATTTTGATTACTTTTTGTTGTTGTTGTATTAGGCCTTCCCCCCACCCCCCCAGACTGTTAGGAAATTTCACAACAATGTATCTTAGTTTAGGTAATTTTTCAAGTTAGCTTTTCAATAAAAGAAACAAATTATTTTTTACGCATTTCCTTCTATTAGCTCTTTGTATTTTTTTCCTGACCATTTTATCTATTTCACTTTCTAGTCCTCTTATTATTGAAGCATTGAACTTAGTGGACTGAATCTCTAATTTTTTTAAAAAAACATATCTTTTTTCCAGTTCCTATTTCTTTGACTTTTTTTTGTTCTACATAATTAAAAATATATTTTTATTGATTTCAGAGAGGAAAAGAGAGGGAAATACCAATGATGAGAGAGAATCATCAATAGGCTGCCCCCTGCATGCCCACACCAGGGTATGTGCCGTGACCAGGAATTGAACAGTGACCTCCTGGTTCATAGGTCGACACTCAACCACTGAGCTACACCAGCCAAGTTTCTGTTCTATATTTTTCTCAGGTAATGTTCTACATTACATTTTTTAGATTTCTACTTTTATTTTGCTATGTATGTGTATATACATATATACATCTTTATATACCAATGTATATAATATCCTTACCTAAGGATATTGTTTCTATTGATTATTTAGAGAGAGTAGAAGAAAGGCAGGGGGTAGAGAAAGATACAGAGATAGAGACATGAGAGAAACACATCAACTGGTTGCCTCCAGCTCATCCCTTCCAGGGCCAGGGATTGAACCTGCAACCAAGATACATGCTCTTGACTGGGAATTGAATCCACAGTCCTTATTTTGCTGGCCAATATTCTAACCACTGAGCCCAAATGGACTAGGTAGTTAATATATTTTTAATTTTCAAGAAGTCCTCTGATGTTTCGTTTCTTTTTTTATTCTATCCTTGTTTCACCAATGTGTTATCTTTTCTGACCTCTACCTGAATCAGATCCTTTGTCACATTTGTTTCTTTGGTTTCCATCTTCTTCTTCTTCTTCTTTTTTTTTTTTTTTTAAATATATTTTATTGATTTTTTTTACAGAGAGAAAGAGAGAGGGATAGAGAGTTAGAAACATCGACGAAAGAGAATCATAGGTCAGATGCCTCTATTGTGGAAGTTTTCCACTTTTGCTATGCCTTGGCTGTCAGTTTGCATTAAAGAGCAAATCACTAAAAATTGATTGGAAGTTCTGAATGAAGGCCTGAAGACTGGAGGGCTTCACTAGTGATTGGGCGACCAGCTGACCAGCTGGTTTTTGTTTATTTGAATTTCAGCTATGGTATCTGTAATTCTTTCTCTAGGAACAGTTGATTCTGCAGAGGATATTTTAATCTCTTTGATTGAGGAGAGGATTCCAGCTTCCGAAGTTTTGGAATTAAGGGCAAATAGCAGGGTGGGGTGAGGAGAAGTTTACCATCGTTTGGAAAGCAGATTCTCTCACTTATCTCATGTTTTCAGTGTCCACATCTCCCTTGCCCCCCTCTGTGCCTCATATCCCCATACTTGGAGCGTCTCTGATTCAGTTTCCTCATACTGTAAATCTCCAACCTCTTGCAGGAGTAGGGAGAAATAATTACGTGTTTAGACAGATGGAGGTGGAAATCTGGATCCCTAAATATTTTTAATTAAATATGATTTCAGCGCTTCTTTAAACCCTTCCTCTGATGTTTCTGGTAGCTGAATTTCTAAAATTTTCTGGGATTCTGTTGGAACAAAGAGACTTACTTTTCAATAACCGCTTGATATTCCCTCTCCTCATGCATTTAAGTTCTTCTCTGCTCAATAATTTATCATTTTCTTTCACTCTGATTTCTTTTTAAAAATCTGGCTCAAGTTACAGAATGGTGATCATAATTTCATTAATGATGGAGTACGATTTTTCTGTTTCTTGTTTCTTGGAAGTGTGATTTTTCTCGGGGAAAAGAGGGTTAAAATACCTCTACCTGCCCTCTCCACCTGGAAGTCCTCTACTTGGCCTTAATGATTTTTCTAAATTGTGTTTGCAGAATATGTAATTTCTCAAGTTACTTATCCTTTAAAAAAGATTACATAAATTGCTCATTGAACGTGTTACTGAATTACTTTCTATAATTGCATTAGCATCTTGTAATTGTACATTAACATATATAACTAGAAATGAGCTTGTAATTAAGCACTCAGCCCTGATAAATTATAATCATATTGAAATTTATGAGTTAAATAGAAAATTAAATAGATAAATTGAAAATAAACTGTTCTGAGATTCAGATATGTGTTGACAGATAAAACAAGTTAAAAAATCAATACCTTATTCCCTGAGATGACTGTACTTTATTGCTGGAATTAATTCAACTACAGGGAGGGAAGGGTGCTTAGCATTGACAGTTTTTGTTTTCTAAAGTAAAGTGAGTGTTTTTCCACAGTAATGGCCTTTTCTGCAATACGAATTGCCCAGTATATGGATTCATGCACAATGAAAGGAAAATAATTAGAAGAAATATTTTGATATTGCTATTCGCCCTTTTTCTGTCATAGATGTATCAGTGATGAAAGAAAACTAGTAAAATATAATATATACGTTGATTAATAAATAAATAATAACATGATATAACAAAAACAAAGACATGATATAAAAACAACAAAAACACAATATAAAACAACAAAAGCATGTTATAAAAACAACAAAGATGATATAAAAACAACATTGGTAAAAATAATGACTGATAACTTGATTAAACTTATTCTAATATCTTCCTGTATACAATAAGAGTAAAAACACTTGGGATTGCTGGATTGTATGTGGTTCTATTTTTAATTTTTTGAAGAATCTGCATAATGACTGTTTCCACAGTGGTTTTACCAATGTACATTCCCACAAAAGTGCATTAGTGGGAATCTCCACATCCTCACTCACACTGTTTATTTGGTGTCTTTTTATAACAGGCAGTCCAATGAGGGATATCTCATTGTGGTTTTGATTTGCTTTTCCCTATTGAGCATCTTTCTTATATGCCTGTTAGTCTGTATGTTTTCTTTGGAAAAATGTCTATTCGTGTCCTATAAACCATAAAAGGTTAAAGAGACATATAGCCAATAGGCTAGGAATTTTGTAAATTCAGAGGGGAATAAATGGGCAGCAATGTCTCACTACCTGGTACATTCTGCCTGGTGTGCTAGTAACATGGGCACTGTCTCAATAACTCTTTTCATGGAAGAAACTTTAAGCTGCACATAAATATATATTTAATATGAATTTACTGGATCAGATGTCAGCATTTTCCTGAATTTCCTTATGAATAGTTACCTTATTAATAGTTTTCTTAAAATTAGAAAATAAAAGTTATAAATTTCTTAGTTTAGCAAGAATATAAAAGTTTCTCTTTTATTTACTCTAAGGCATATAATTTTTCTTACTTTTTAAAATAAAGAAATTGAAATAGTTTATGACTTACCCCAATATTAAACATTCCTGTAAAATACTCCATATTTGCTTGAATAAACCAAATGTTGCTTAGACCTAGCTCATCACTTCTCTTCTTAGCACGAATTAATGATAATTCCTTGTTTTCTATTAATGTAACCTAGATTTCAGCCAGGAAACAAAGTATATTTAGGAACATAATTCAGACATTAGGGAAAAGTATTATTACTGTATATCATAGTCTTAATAACATAGAATATATTATATAGATCTTTATCCTATGCCAGGAAGTATGCCAGATAATATGGTACAAAAATCAACAAGGTCTTAGAACTCTTGAGGCTTACAGTTGTAACGATATAAACAAAACAGGCAAATATAACATAGTGATGTGTTTAATAAAAGACAAATGTATTATATGAGCACCTAAACCTGATGATTATGGCAGGTTTTGTTCAATCAATATGGAAAAGTAGCCCTGCCACTATGGCAGAATGGCTGAGCATTGGTACGTGAACCAGGAGGTCATGGTTCAATTCCCAGTCAGGGCATATGCCTGGGTTTTGAGGCAGCCAATCAATGATTCTCTCTCATCATTGATGTTTCTACCTCTCCCTTCCTCTTTCTCAAAGTCAATAAAAACATAATTTTTTTAAAATATGGAAAACTAATATATTTACTGAGGCCTGAACAATTAATAGAAATTAGCTGGGGCAATGAAGTAGTGTATCAGGCAGACAGAAAAACATGTATGACAGCCCAAGGTGAAAAATATACTGTGTTTGAAGAAATGAGAAAACTGGTGTAGCTGGGCACAATGTATAATGGTGATGGTGGGCAAGGGGAGTAGGATATGGGGGTGGAAATCAGGCTGGAGAGGCAACAGAAGCCAGACCATGGGTGATAAAAGAAGTTTCGGCTGCTGCAATGAACAGTATGGATTAGTGGAGCGAGGCAGAAGGCAGCGCCACCAGTCAGGAGTCTCTCACAGTAATCCAGGCCAAGGAAGATCGGGAAGGACCATCGGTTTGGATGCAGAAGAGTGGGCAGAACTGTCACTTTCATCACGATCATTCTTAGTTCTACCCTAATTTTGTCCTCTATCTTGTGTTTATGGGAAAATCCTGAATCCTTTGTATAATAACACCTGTCAGAGTATCCGAGGTGTCAAAGGCTTCCCTCTTTCCAGTCTCAGATCCCAGGAGAACTGGTAGGAAGGAAAGAAGACACCATGTACCGGACTCTGTTTCTACAGGATTCTCACGAATGAGCTTTCTTCCTCTTACTCCACCATGAAATTGTTGCTTTTTAAAATAATAAAGCAGACACCTGCCTGTTTCTCCCAGTAGTCCTTATTTATTTACTTCTTATTTCCTAAGAAAGTAAAAGAATAAGACCGGCCCTCCAGTTGCCATCATTCAATTACATCATTCACACCAGCCTATGAGTTCTTCCACATTTTATTTTTCTTCTGGGAGTGCAGTAATCATTGTAATTATTTTGTGCCTTCTGGAGAGCAAAGAATGTGCTCCAGTTTAACTGCATTTTTTTTAAATGACATAAAATTCTAGACGTTTATGTTAAAAGATGATCACTGTGAGCAAATTATTTAATATGGTAGAAGACTAAAAATAGCAAATTTCTAATAAATGGTGGCAATGTTTGCATATATAATGGTACATTTCCTTAAAAACATATTATGTAGTCACATTTTAGTACTGTTTTGATGAAAACATTTATAACTATTTCCAACAGGGAAAAATGTTTTTGATACAATATTGAGTGAAAACATAACTAAAATTTTATTTGCATTTTTAGATTTTGCAACAATAATTATCCTTAAGGACAAGGACTTATTAAGAACACGAGGAGAAAATCATTTCATGGATTAGGGAGGTAGATTGAATTTTGTTTTTCTTTAAAATTTTGTTATTGTTGTTACAATTTTGATACAATGAGTAAAAATCAAGTTACCAAAAGAATATGCTCAACAAGTTTCAGATGCTAGTATTTCCAGAATAAAATTATGCTGATAATTAAACTAGTTTTATCATTACTTCATTTAGCACTGGAATAGTTATTTTAAAAATTATTTAATATATAACTCTTTTATACAGTTAAAAACTATTGTGATCCTACTTTTTCCTTAAGATTTTGAATCTTAGAAGTTTAGTTCAAAGAAAAAAGAAATTGCCTGTGCCATACTTTGGCCTGGGTGAATGATTATAAACTCAAAGAGAAGGTATAAGCTAAGCTCAGCTAACTGAATCATGTCATTTTCTGATGTTTTCCATGTTATTCAGACTTTACCTGGCATAACGGCAGCATATGAGCGAGCATAATCCCAAGGTGACCCTAAAAGAGGCAGGCAAAAAGACAAGTTAAAGTTGGTCCCTAAGGCTTCTGCTCATCCTGAGACAACAATCTTGCCAAATAAAAGCATTTCCTAGGATGTAATATAAAGGCATATAGTCTTGCAAAACTAAAAAGATATGAAGAGATACCATACCCCACCGCTGCAGAAATCCACAATTCTGTCACCAGGTTTGGCTTGATTTGTCACCACATACACAAGGTTGTTTAACTGTTGCTGCTTTCTCAATGCTCGATCACTGGACATTTTACCTGGGAAAGACAAGAGATGAAGAAAATAAAATGTGTATTCTGTGGGGTTGACAAGGCGCTAGTAGAATAGACTGCCAGCATGCAGAAAGAGGGGTGAATAGATAAATGAGCTACAAATTCTGTATAACCCACTAGGAGGAGACTAGAGAAATGAAATCCAGAAATAACCTCTACTTTTGCTTATTTTTACTTTAGTCTTATCCAACTTTTCTTTCAATATGTAGTGGCAGAAAATCTATGGGGAAAAAATATTCTTTTTTTTTTTTTTTTTTTTTTTTTTAAAAATATATTTTATTGATTTTGTACAGAGAAGAAGGGAGAGAGAGATAGAGAGCTAGAAACATTGATGAGAGAGAGTCATCAATCAGCTGCCTCTTGCACACCCCCTACTGGGGATATGCCCGCAACCAAGGTACATGCCCTTGACCGGAATCGAACCCGGGTCCCTTCAGTCCCCAAGCCGACGCTCTATCCATTGAGCCAAACCGGTCTCGGCAAAGGGAAAAAATATTCTAAAGAAAGAACACAACTTGTGAAACATTAAGTTCACATCCTAAACAAAGTAATTGTTCAATACATGCTTTCTGGATGAGTAACAACAGAGACCTATTGTAAAAATTACCTAATTTCAGCACATTGCCTAAATCTCATTGGAGAAAGGAGATCCATAATAAATAAAAACCTTTTTATTTAACTAGCCCATCCTTAAACTTTATTTTTCTGATTAGGACTCTTGAAACAGGTATTGCATTGCCTGAAATATGTCAATGGTTATTATATTTAGAGAGAAACTGGATTTTCCCCTTTTTACTTCGAAGTGTTTTCCTCATGAGTCAGACACAGAAATTTAATGCAATTAGAGATTAGAGATAGGGTATTTCCAAGTATGAAATGCCTTGGGCCTAGCAGCATGAAAACAATTGAACTTTCAAAAGCCATTAGTCAAGCCCATGAATATATCTTCAGAATAATGAATGAAATTACTTGTTTTTACATGTTTCAAATACACTTTTTAAGAAAGTAAAAGCAAGAGTAAGAAGATGTAAGAACATATTTCAGTGATACAGATTAAAAACCCAGATAATCTTTTTTGTTTGATCAAATGTTATTTACAGACACCAAGGTTTCCCTGCTCCATTTTCATAGAAAAATAATATGTTCTTCTCTTTTCTGTTTTTCTTTTTTCTTATGTGATTACTAGAGGCTCGATGCATGGAAATTGTGCAAGAGTAGGTCTCCCTTCCCCCAGGTGCTGGCACCGGCTTCCCTCTGTCTGCCAGCAGGCATCTGGGAGCTGGGCTTCACTCACAGCCCTGACTTCATCCTGAAGGTCATCCAGTCTAATTAGTATATTATGCTTTTATTACTATAGATATGTATATGCATATATCCTATATAATAAAAGCCCAATATGCTAAGTGTCTGATGGTTCATTCAACCATCGCTATGACACACACTGACCACCAGGGGGTAGATGCTCCGACTGGTAGGTTAGCTTGCTGCTGGGGTCCAGCCGATCAGGACTGGGTGAGACATGCTGGAAACACTCTGGAGCCCTCCCGTGATTCCTCTCCAGCCCTGAGTGTGCACCAGTGGGATCCCTTGGCCTGGCCTAAGCCCTCTAGCAATCTGGGACCCTTTGAGGAATGTCCACAGGCCAGGCCAAGGGAACCCACCAGTGTATAAATCCATGCACCAGGCCTCTAATGTGTGTGTGTGTGTGTGTGTGTGTGTGTGTGTGTGTGTGTGTTCTAGTCACATCCATAAGTCCATCATTTTCTAGACAGCATATAAAATATTACAAATCTTTCCACATCTGTGCATTTATTTTTCTACTATATAATAGTTGCATAATATTTTATTCACTATATATACCATTGCTTATGTAACCAGTTTCCTATTACAATTCTTATTTAGCATGGCCAGATTTCAAGCATGAAGAGCTTTGAAATCAAAAGCCTGGTGACTCTATTTGTGAAGACAATTTCATGTATAAAAATAATTTTTATTTTTCTCTAAAAATATAATTATAGCCCAGCTGTGGTGGCTCAGTGGTTGAACACTGACCTATAAACATGGAAGTCACAGGTCGATTTGGGGTCAGGGCACATACTCAGGTTACAGGCTTGATCCCCAGAAGGGGGTGTGCAGGAGGCAGCCGATCAATGGATCAATGATTCTTTCTCATCAATGATGTTTCTACCTCTCCTTTTCTCTCTGAAATATATAAATATATTTAAAAATAAAAATATAATTATAAAAAAATTTAAACACAGAGAAGTGAAAGCCTCTGTCACCTTACACTCTGTAGATAACCAGAGATTTTATGACAATTTTCAAACACATAGCAAAGTTGAAATAATCTTACAATGGACACCTCTATAAACTCCACCTGAATTCTGCCATTAACAGCTTACCGTACTTGGTTTATTACACTTGTATTAATCTATCCATCTCTCTAATTTCTCTACCCATCCACTCATAAGTCAAACTTAGAGAGAGAGAGAGAGAGAGAGAGAGAGAGAGAGAGAGAGAGAGAGAGAGAGAGAGAGAGAGACTTCAATGTGAAAGAGAGAAATGTCAATCAGCTGCCTCCCATAGGTGCCCAGACTGGGGATGGAGCCTGCAACCTGGGCATGTGCCCTGACTGGGAATTCAACTGATGACCTTTTAGTGCACAGATGATGCTCAATTAACTGAGCCACATCAAACAGGTCCGACTTTTTATTTTTTTATTTTTTATTTTATGGCAGTCTTGATTTGGAAGAGGAAGAATAAGAACAAGGAAGGGGATGAGAAAGCGGGTGGTCAGAATGCAAAAATGGAAAGTACTACTTTTGAGCCCCTTGGGAGGTCTAGAGTAACAAATGCTATTAAGTGGAGCCACTGTACAGCAAGGAATGAGCACAAGTATTTTAGTCTCTGTTGTGTTTGTAGATTTCTTAACAATTCTTTGCCAAAGACTTTTCATAATAGAAAGTCAAAGGGAATTATCTTTTGTTAAAAATGAGAAGAAAATATATTTAGTGGAATATCTAATAGCAAGTTCTTTATCATATTTCTATTATTCATTTACCTAACTTTCTTAGGTCTGTTCCAAGAGCAAATGTTGATGAAAATCTGTGTCTATTGCATCTTCGCATATAAGGAATCTGGGCTGAAATGAAGGTGGAAGGCAAAGAGTACTTTTCAGGGTTGTGTTTAAATAGAGAGACTATTAAGCTGCACATCCTATTCACAGAGTAAGCTACAAATTATGTCCAGAGGCTTTATGGAAAACTCTAATTAAGCATTACTCTTTCCCATTCTAGTTTTACAAATGAAAAGCTCCTAGAAACACGAACATGACCTCAAATACAATGAATGAGGTAAGAAGTGGTATTTTAAGATAAGGCATAAATTAAAAAATCAAATTTGATTTATAGTTGATATTCTTGTGCTGAAGGCACTGTTTACAAGCATAAATTATAATGTATTTTTAGCTTGGCTAAAAATTCTGATTCAAGAATCAAATGCTTTGATACAAGTGACTTCACTTGTTCCAGGATGTAATTCTCCCACATTGAAGTCTTCTCCTTGTCTATTCAAGTTAGGAGGAACCTAATGATTGAATACTCTACATTGCCCAGAAAGTACAAAGGTAAAGAACCCATTTAAAAAAAGCATATATATTTTTAATGATTTCAGAAGTGTAGTTAAAAAGACATATTTTCTAATCTCAAAAAGCATAGAAACTAAGGAATATACATCTTTGTGTCCCTAACATTGTCTAGGACAGTTCTGTGTAAGTCAAATTTATTGGTTGAAGGATTGATTGAAGAAGATATTTGTGAAGTCATTATTCTTCAATTTACAGAGGAATAAATTGGCTTTGTTAACATTTTGAATTTCCAGTTAAAAGTTATTGAATGGTCCTGGCTCAGGTGAAGCCAAGTGATGCTGTTTATTTTTAAATGGCCAGGGTGTGTCATGGCAGCTCCTGCATTGAGCGTCTGCCCTGTGGTGGTCATGCATGTCATAGCTACCAGTTGGATGGACACTTAAGACTTTTATATATAGAGATTTTAATAACCATAACTTAAAAAAAACCATATATTTTCATCAAGCTTCTAAAATGATTGGTAATACTTCCTATTTACATGATGCTCTGAAATTTATGAAGTGCTTGCACATTTGATACATCGTCTATCCTCAGAACTTATCAGGTTGCCACAGTGGGTGATACTGTCTTTATTCTAGAAAGGAGGACACTGAATAGTAAAGAAGTTTGCTCAAACAGCACTTGCTAGGGACACACGCAGCTGGTGGCAAAGGTGGGACTCTAACCAAGGAGTTTCTAACTTCAGGTTCAGTCTTCCTTGCAGCATGATCTGCTAATTCTTAAACAGATGACTGATTAATTGTGACTTTTTTATATGTGAGAGTTTAAGGACATGAGATGCTTTCTAGAGGGGAAGTAAGGGATTTCCCTAGTAATTACATCTTGGGGGGAAAAATTAATCCTTCACAGTCAGTCATAAAATGCATTTTACTTCAGTTCTCCCTTTAAATAAAATGTCCAAAAGCAGGCCTGCAAGTAAAGAGGATCAATTTCAATTCTGAACTTCAACTTTTGGAATATATCACTAAGGCATTATTTGGGGGTCTTGTAGGTCACTCTGTTTAATGGACTGACCTTTGAGTGTCACCCTTTCCAGAAAGAGACTATTTCCCCACCTTGGGACTATAAGCAACCTTTTTTATTTTATAGAAAAGTGACATAGAGAGGGCAAGCAATCAATTTGTTGCAAGATCAGATTTTGCAGGAGGAAAGAAATGAAAGACTGGGAAGATCTTGCATGTTACATTACTGCAAATGCCGACTACAAATAGCATGTACCTTCACCTCGCATATCTATTTTTAGAGCATCTTTAAAAAGCTGATAATTAAAAATATTTAGGCAAATGGGGGACAAAAGTTGAGGAAAGTATAGTAACAGTATTTGCCATATCAAAACCTC